TATCCCCCACCTTTGATGTGGGGCATGTATGCAGAACAGGACTTTAGGCCATTGATTCAGCATGGTAATATTAAAGGAAGAGCACAGACAAAACATAGTAAGACTGCCTCAAGAATGAAGGGACAATGCTGACCCCTGAATGACCTTCCTCTGTGGTACAGGTTAATGAAAGTAGTGCAAGCAGAATTGATGTCTACTTCAAGGACTAGAGGAGCCTTCAATCATTAAAGAAATTCTGTATGTAATTTTTCAAAATGATCTGATAACGTGATCTGAAGATGTAGTCATCAGGATGGCTGGTGGCATCTTTAGTGATTGTGGCACAGAATTTATCTTCTTATCACATCAGACTGGCAGTTTCTAGTCTGTCCAGGTACATGCATGTTCTTGATTCACTTAAAGGAAACTGGCATTCAGCTGACCGCCAAATGTGTTGGAAATAAATATGGATTAGAAATGGCTTGTGTGTTTATTTTCAATCACAATATTTGTGGGCTTTATTGTTTCAGTACTTGTAAAATGCACATAATAACTAAACCTATATAAGATAAACAAAGAAGACCTAGAATAGAAATTACTAAACTAGTTTTTTAAATCTCATATTTAGACTGTTTGTGCACTGGTGCATAACATCTTAACATTAAAAGGCATAGTAACTGCTGGGGGGAAAGGAATACAATTTCAGATTCTGTGGAAAATCCATTAAAGTAATATATTTGCATAAAGGAATCAGATTGATTTTGCTTGCTTATTGATTTGGATGTTTTTGATTAATAATGAAGCTAGAGAATGGATTGAAATTTGACATCATTTAAAAATAGAAAAGTTTGTAGTCATACTCATTTCAGTCATGCAAACAGGGGAATATTTGCATGCATTTTATTAGACATTAGTTGTATCAAACCCCAAGACCATTGTGCTGAATACTTGAGATAATTTGGGGCCATGCTTAATGCAAAATGCAGCATAACAATTACTTTCTTCTTCATTATGAAAGATTTCCACTATATCACCTTGGACAAGAGAACAAGCTTGAATTCCCACTGCATCTAATTTATTATTAGTGCTGTAGATATTGTTTTGTGTTAGAGTGCATAAAGTATTTCTAGAAACATATTACAAAAAAATCTACAGGGGAGGAAATGGCAAAATAAAACTGCTTTGGAAGTTATTGCATTTTTTATAATAGATCAGCACATTATTCCCATTGTAAGGCACTTTAAGAAAATAGGCTGGACCTTTTCATCAGAAAAAGCTTTTCTGCAAGTACATTTTATATAGACTTTGTGCTGATGACATATTACAGATATTTAAATAAATTACACATATATGAGATGTTTCTAGTGAATTAATGTTGGTTGTTTAAGATTTTTTAAGGGTGATAACCAATTAACCCCTCCAATTATTTCAAATAAAATGCATTAAGCCAGTGGAACAGGGAGGGCAGCACTCTCTATTCAGCCTACAGTTCCCCACATGCCTTCAATCTGCTCCAGTGGGTTGGATTCTGGCCAAAGTACTCAGACCAGTCTGGAAGATGCACCATTTGGCTTGGAAACCTTTCTCCCTAATCCCAGATATGTGAGAGCTTATTGTATTGATTATTATATTTCTCAGCATGAGGAAAAGGCATGCAGGAATTTAGTTTTGTGCAGGGATGGAGCACTCTGCCTCTCTTGTGTGCCCAGCATAGAAACCAAATAGGCTGCCAGAGGATGGAAACCTCTCTTACCATACCCAGTACAGCAGACTGCTAGGAATGCCTTCCCAGGACTTTATTAAATTTGTTTGCAGGCTAATCACTTTTTGTCTTCATCCACAAGACTGCTGAAAACTGAACCTAAGCTAAGCTCTGGATCAAATTAAACCAAAAATAAATAATCTAGAATTGCAAGTAAGCCTATGCTTGTCTACTCAGAACTCACTCCAAATACAATGGACTTCCTTCTCACCAAGTGTGCATAATATTGGTTGGCCTGCATACTAAACCTAGAATTCTCTAGTAGACAAGCAATTCTCAGAGACTACAACTTAAATCTGGTTCAAGATCTAAAATTGTGCTCCATTTCCCAAAATACCTTTTGGACACCTGTTGTAAAGCTTTGGCAGAAATGCAGATCTTTGGTCTTATAAAAATGAAATCAATACAGATGCCACTTTTTATTCAGAGTTACATTTTGAACAAACTCCATTTTTTATATTTCAAAAGAAAAATGGCTGATATGGCTAAAGGATAGAGTATAAGAAGGAAAAGGATGCAAATGTTTGTTTTGGCTGCACTTACCAGTGGCTAAATTATTCCTTGCATGAAAAATGTATCCAAATTAATTCAATTTTTGTACTGTTGCCCAACTTATGGGACATCCTTGGACATCATTATCAGGATACAAGGTGGCAGATATTTGTTTTGAAATAGTTGTATGTGCAAGTTACTTCTGGTAAGTCAACAGGAACAGAAACAGTAGCAAAATCCCATTGGTGGAGTCCCTTTGTACAACTCTTTGTAAATCTCATTGTATACCACACAGCATTTTGAGTAGAATGGATTATAGCAATTGTGGTGCAATAACAACTTATTATCCCCACTTTTGTAAAAATTAATGCAGATACTACAAATTAGACTGTACTTATAGAGTTTTACAATTCTGATCTCAATAATGATAATTTTTGATACATTTATCTGATAAAAATGAATCAACAATAATTTGTAAAATGAATTAAAGCAGGAAAATTTTCAGATCTAGATTATAAAGAACTAGACAGAGTTAATAAACCTGGGATATTTCCTTGCTGTTATAAAACACAGAGAGTACATTTTGCTATATTCACTTGTAACTTTAAACCCTAGATAAACATTACAAATGTAGCAAGAATGCATTTCTTCCTTCTGTAGGAGGACCAAGATTGCCCTCTTGAGTGTGCCAAACAGCATGGGGTATTTCATATATTATGTGATTGGCATGCACTTTAGTTTGGAATCTGCTTGGGGATGAAATTGTTGGCTAATGCTGTGGAAATTTTGATTCTACAACAGACAGGCTGCTTCTATCTGCCTTGAAACAAACAAACAAAAAACCGCTTTTTTAATGATGCCATGCTCCTGGCTTTGCTACTGTTTAATGATGTTCTTAATTGTTTTGTGTTTCAAAATGTTGTGAAGCAGCACCCCAAGCATCACAATAGGGGGCCTTTTACCAATAAAATCATCATCATCATTATTTCAGTCTTTGCTGAGGAAATGTACAATATAATTTTGGAAGTCTTCCATAATAACCTATTTTGATATGACATTTCCACTGGGTATGAAGAAACATTTTCTATAAATTGGGAAGCTACTGTCAATTTATAGTACCTCTTGATACATCTTTACAAAACAGTGAAAACAAAAGACATTTTGAGAGCGTTAACAGGCATGAATAGGATGTCAACATATCATTGGCACTTGAGAAATGACTTGTGGGTTCTGCCTTTTTACCTCTGCTCATATGCATCACACTAGGATTTTTGGCTTATGGAATGAAATCTTTAACTATGCATATCTAGGATAATGGACACATGTCAGAAATAGAAAACTACTTTGCCGATACCAGAATGCTTCTGTGTATAACCTAGGCAAACCGTGGCAACTAGCTGTGAGGATGCAATGATTTCCAGAAAGTAAGCTGTAATCCATCCAATCATTTAAGGTGCTTGGAGGTAGGGCTGACATGCTACTGAGACCAGTAGTAATAGGTAATAATTCAGCAGAATTGATGAACATAGAGCTGCCAAACTAAAATTGTCAAAAGCATTCTGGAGATGTGATGTGTATCCTATAAATTGCTAAAGAGCTAGGATATTCTGGAGTAGGACATCCATTTATAGAGCCCTCATATCTCAGGATAAATCATGATGTCATACACAAACACAGGGACAAGGTGCACATGACCAGTTTATAAGCTTCAATGGGAATTAGAGCTCAAACAGTGAAGATGAAGGGGTTGTGGAGTCAGCAAGCTGCAGTATCAGATCAAGGTCCATGAACATCTCTGGAGCAAGAAGGAGAGTTGTTCATTCCAGTGGATAGAGCTGACAAGAGCCTCGATCTACCAATGATAGAAAGGGGGTGGGGGGGACTGGGCAGGTTTTGCAGCAGGAGTTGAGTAGTCTGTCTCACACTTCTCCTACAGAAGTGATGCCAGTTGCCAGTAGACAACACAGGTGGGAGAATCAGTTGATGGAGAGGCAGGAGGAGCATCAACAGAGAAGGTTTCACAGTGCTCCACCTGCAGGGCAGTGCAGGAGAAAAGGGAATAAGGGGATTGGGGACTGAGAAGTGTTAGAGAGGGCGCAACACTTCACTTTGGGTGAACACAGAGATACATACTGATAGAGATGTGTAACAATAAAGCCTTGTGAAAAGAAATTCTGGAGCAGCGTGTTTACTTAAGGAGGGCTGTACCTAATGACAGATATTGCCATAAAATAACTGACATCTGGGAATTCTAAGGATGTCTTCCTGATTAGAAAAGAAGATGCAATTAAAATTATTTGGGAACCCCACCTACCTAAACTGCATCATTACATGTAAGCAAAGTAGGGAAGAAATACAGAATGTAATACACTGATCTAGTTCCCACTTAAATTTAAAAGATGATTGATCACATACTGACTTTTCCAACATTTCCTGGTAAGGAGTTGACCAAGGACTGAGTTTCATTAAATGCATGCATTGGTTGTATTGATTGCTCTATACAGGTAGTTGATTGTAGGTCTCTGCATACATCATGAAAAATCTTGCTGTCTACTTTGAGGAGGTTAAAACTAAAATTTTATATTCAAGACAAAGATAAAGCATGCTTTTCTTTTCCATGTACACGAATCTTTTAAATAAAATCTCTGCATAAATGCAACCACTTATCCAATTCCTGTTGCTTTAATGCCAGTTCTTAAAATCATTTCAGATCCAGAAAAGGGAAAAAGGTGTAATGATAAAGGAGCATTTGCTAATCCTAAAAAACTTATTGTAAATCTGGACTGGAATGTGCCATAGTATCTTCTTCACATGAATGTGTTTTAGTATCCTTTTTACATTCTGTCACTTGTTCAGCAGCTAGTAAAAGTTGCTCAGGCTCTGAAACAGAGCTTCTATCAGTGAGAGTTAAATGGCATTTTGAAAACCATAGGCACTCATTCTTAGGTGCAGAATTTAAAGCAAAGGACCTATTTATGTGGCTTTTGGGAAATCGACCCAGAAAAGGCTTCTCAGTATTTGGATACTGAACAAATGAGGTTTGATAAATGGAATGGTGACTAGTACTGCTTGGAATGGGTTCATGGGCCAAAAAAAAGTAATTTTGCGATATGTTGTGATACTTGTCTTGTTGAAATTTCTTTAGTCCTAGCCCCTAAAAGAAGTGGGGAAAAAACACTTCAGAACAGTTCTATTATTTAGATTATCTAACAATATACTATGTTACAAAACCATCAGAAATTTTTTATTAAAACATCTGGGAGTGCAACTTGATAATAGTCTACAAACAAATCATTTCTGAAGATTTTATTCTCCTCTGATATTTAGCAGAAGCAAATAGCCTACAACTGGACTGCAGTAGAAGCATGGAAATCACAGAAACATGCATCAGGGAGCCAAGGCCAATCACACACTTAAAAAATATGTGTACCTGCCCTACACATTATTTATTTATTTATTTATTTATTTATATTTAAAAGTTTTTATATCCTGTCCTTCACTGAAAGTACTCTATTAAGGAGTTGATGCACGGCAACAAAATTTTTTAATGTGTTTCTGCTTCTGGTGAAATGTGTGAAGCAGTCAGGATAGTCATTACCTGCAGCACATATATTAAAGAATGTTTGGAATTCAAATGAATATAAAACCACATAGCCATGCACTTCATAAAAGTCAGCATTTATTGCTAAGACAGCCTGGTGACCACTATGTCAGTGGGGCTCCTCATCCATTGCAGCCTTTCTTTTCAGTTTTATAGGCGCTATCCCTGGTATTCTCTGGTGTGGAACCTATTTTGAGGCTAGAGTTCAGCACCATGAATAGCTTTTATAAATGTCCCGTAAAGCTCAAAATAAAAACCACAATGGATGAGAAGACCCACTAACATAGGAATCACCATCTTTTCTTGTTTATTGCTATTTTTCTGATGTGGCACAAATTTCTTTGCACTTTTAAGACCTATATTAAGAAGGCAATAATCTGCTTCAAATTTTGTAGACTGAGAAGATATAAAATTATTAGAGAATGAAACTTTGCACGTAGTTGAACTTTTAAATAGACATTGAATAATCTAGATGGACAAAGAAAGAAAGAAAGAAAGAAAGAAAGAAAGAAAGAAAGAAAGAAAGAAAGAATCACACTTTTGCCTTGTACCAAGAAACAACAATTTGCCATGGTATCAGACTTGCTAGGTCTTTTTTGAGTCTCTCAAAAGTGTCTTGTTTACAGACAAGACATTCCAAAAACCTGAAAAAACTGTTCATGAATTCTGTGTCTCACTCACTTTGTTTCCATCCATTCTGTTATCATTTGGAAGATGGATACTACAAAAGGGAGAATGTGTCCAGTCATTTAGAAGAGACCTTCTAAACACCTTAATAGAAAGAACCAACTAGAACTAGTTCAACTTTTTAAACAAAATAGCATAACATTGAATACTTACAGAATCTAAATATTCTCCTACATTCAGTAAGCAATGTCTATTGTCATGGACTGAAAATGGAAATGTGTTTACTGGTTTCTAAAAAGAGAGAATTAAGAAAAAAATGCTCACTTGTAAACATTCTGTTAGAACACAATACTTTTATTAAGTATTTTTATGCATCTCCTCAACCAAAACATTTTCCAATGCACCTTATAAATAATCAATTAAGCAAGACAATCCTTGCCCACGGGCTAACAAGCTAAAATGGCACATGAAGAAAAAAGTGTGCAAGGGAGGGAGGAAGGAGTGGGGATATTAATTATTTTAACACTATTGGTGGAATGGCTCTGTCCTGCCTCAGCTCAGCCAGCTGCAATGGCTGTTGGTAATGACAGCTGAGAGAGGAGGTGCCTTCATGAGGGAGGCCTTTTACCAGGGCTAGGAATGGCCCTGCTCATCTCCATCAGCTCAGCTGCTCAATCATTTCAAATTCTTAAGAGGATGTAATCTCTACTAATTATCTACATACTTACATAAGCATCCAAACTTTTGTATCAGATAAACTTTATTTATATGGGCACAAATTATTAGACAAATATAAAGGTTTCTTTTAGTGAGTTACTACTGAGACCACAGCTAATAAAAGCTGGACTTCAAAAGGAAAATTGTAACTGAGTCAACCTGAGATTTATGAGCTCACTGCCACCCACTGAGAAGATGCTATATATTATATCAAATTACAGACTATATATTTAAAATGGCTAAGTCCCAAATCTAGAAAGCATGTGGATACATTTTAAATTTTATTAGTTTTAGTTATGGTCTCTTATACTAAGCCAAGTTAGGGTCTCTTGTACTAATCAAAAGAAAGGAAAACTAGTCTCTCAAGATTGTCTGTGAACCAGTGAAGTAAAAGCTAACCCCTTCCATGAGCCCCAAATATAGAGCAAGGTATTTATGATGTAAGAATCTTAATTAGGCTACAAGCCCTATAATACATACTTGGCGGTAAATCCCCTGGGACTTACTTCTCAAGACATGTGCATAAAGGCTGCTGTTAATTTATATTGACAGAGTTAAAGGGGACCAAATAGCTAAGGAGTGTAAGCGCATGCTTCATATTCTTTAATTTGAGGCTCTAAAAGTAGAGTAAATCAGAAGGGATAATTTGTCTTGGGCCATGGCAAGTTTTCATTTTTCATTTCCAAAGTGATGAATATAATTTATTTCTAAATATTTTCTTTTATTCTTTGCTGATAGAATTCCCCAAAAGCAAGCTTTGATTTATAAAGTTTATGTTAACATCTCAGCAAAACCCACATCTTCTACTTTCCATTGCATATATCTTTCCCACTGACTGTTCAGGCTATTCTTTGAGCATGCTTTTGTAGTATTCTTCCTTCCTTATCTGTGTATTTTCACTGGAATGTTGTTGCTTCCTTCCTACTATTAAATTAATTGGTTGCTGTGATTAGACTAATTCTCTTTCTTTCTCTCTGTGCCTCTAATGTTTTACCTGGCAAAAAGGCTGTAGCGAATAAGGTGCTGCTGCTGCATTTGAACTGCCACAGGTTCCAAAATGCAGTCTGCAGGAATCCTTGCAGTTTGAATCAATTACTGTCCTATCCATAGTGTTCCATTCCTGGACTTTCAGGATAGGTAGGGGAGCAAAACAGCCAAGCCAGCAAAAACTTAAGAGAAACCTGACAGCTAGAGAAATGACCACGGGAGAAGTTTTCCTGTTCTTTCAATAAGATTATATCAAGTTAAGAAAGCCAAGTATTGATAACAGCAAACCCAGTGGGTAAATAAAGCTAGAATCTTGTCCATATAGTTGTTTCATCAGCAGCTTCTAGGCAACAACTGAAATTTTTCATTGTCTGTCAGTCTCCCCTGCCTTTTTTAGTATCTAGAGTGGTCATGTGTTCTCTTTTACAGGGGACAGTCTTCTATTTGAAACATTGTCAGAGAACAGTCCTCCATTCTGAAGGTGTCCCCTATTTAAAGTGTTGTCCAATCTAAATCTATTTTAAAGATAAACAACCAATGGAAGGAAAAAACGGACCTTGAATTTGACCATCAGCAATGAACATCTGGACAGAGGACTGAGCAATCAGGTGCACAGGTCAACTGGTCACAGTCTGCCACACTATGTACTGCATTTCTATTTCAATTATAATTATTTCTACATGTGCAGCTATTCATACAAATCTGCATAAGTACATTTTATACAGATCACATATTTCATCTTTTTTGATAATTTAGTGGCCACCCTAAGTAAGTTCCTCTCTGACAGTACCCATACTTAAAGTATGAATCTCTTCATGTAGGTCTCTTAAATAAGATACTTTGTTCTGCCATTTTGCTTGAGCTTCAGCTCCTGTTCACTGAAAACAGAAAGTTGAGTTTTTGGACAAGTAAACAGGAAAGCTGGAGGAAAGTTGCTCTAATCAATAATAGAAGATTCTGTAGGAATAGCAGAGTTATGTCTTAATCTCTAAGCGTTCAGCTCTCCAGTCTTCAACAAACCCAAGACAACACAGCAAGGCAAGAATGTATGTGATCTTAGCCAGCAACAAGGCTCAAGAAAGAAAGTTTCATTGCAGCCACTAAATTGGGTTGCCAGGAAAACCTGAAGTAGATTTCGGCTGAGAGTCTTATCTCTAATTCTGACTTTCCTTTCTTGCCTTTCTGGGAAGACTGCAGATGTGATTGCTGGGTTAGGGGTTGGGGCTGGCTGACTGTTTTGTTTTCTGTCTCTCAATCTGATGCTGCTCAGTACTATGCTTTAGTTTATATCCTTCATTCAGATTACAGTGGGGGTTTTTAGGAAAAGGAAAGTTTGATTTATAAATGGATTGACTGATGGAAGAAAGCAGAAGGCAATTTCTTATCAGAAAGCAGTTGAGCATCTGCTTTGTATATCTACAGTATTTCTTTATTCCCAAACCCTGACTGGGACTTCCCTGACTTCCCTGTAGTTCACTCCCATTTTCCACATCAGACCTCTCACAACCTGGTGCACGAAAAAAGAAAAAAAATGTTTTGTACAAACTCTACAGGTTAATTAAGAAAAGGATTTGGTTAAAAAGGGAAGCAACTATAAGGGGAAGATGAAAAATCTGGAGTGGTTTTCTTTCAAATGAAGGGCCTTATTACTCTTTACTTATTATTATTAGCCTTATTAATTTACTTGAAAACATTTATTAAATTATTATATTTACAAGCCACCAAATAGTTCAAAATATTCTTTAGGGCAGTGATGGGAAACCTTTTAGAGAACAAGTGCCCAAACTTCAACCCAAAACCCACTTATTTATCACAAAGTGCCAATACTACAATAAACCCTGAAAACTGAGGTTTTAGTTTAGAAAAAACAGCCATTTCAAGCACATATATATATCCTTGGCAGCGCACTGACTGGCCATGAGAAAGCTTGTACAACTTGCGGCTAATGAGGCATGGCGTGTGATGTCATCGCCTGGCACAGCAACTCCTTTGTGAGCATGCGCATGGCCCCTATGTGCACTGTTATCCGATGATTGGCTGCTGGGGCGATGCTGACGCGACTTGGCTTGCATGCCGACAGAGAGGGCTCTGCCATAGGTTCACCTCCACTGGGCTAACCCTACCCTGGTGCACTCCCCTGACCCTAATATGGGTAAAATGCCATTCAAAATAGCGTTATTATGAAAAAGCCTTCCTTGAGTAGCTTTTTCTGCGTAGCTCATCATTTCTGCCCCTTCTAAACACATTTCAACCATCAAAATCAGGCCAGGACACCTCGGTTTCCCAACCCTAACCCTACCCTGGTGCACACCCCTAAGCCTAATGTGGGGGTAATGTTCCATTGAAAAGAGGGCGATTTTGGAAATGCCTTCCTTGAGTAGCTTTTTCTGCACGACTCATCATTTCTGCCCATTCTAAACATATTCCAACCATCAAAATCATGCCAGGACACCTCATTTTTCAAACCCTAACCCAGTGATTGTGAACCTTTTAGAGACTGAGTGCCCAATATGCAACCCAAGTTTATTGGGCACTCCCAATAAACTCATTTATTGCAAAGTGCCAACACTGCAATAAAACCTGAAAACAGCCAGTCCAAGCAAAATATATATATATATATCCTTGGCAGTGCTCTGACCAGCCATGCGAAAGCTCGGACGAGTCGTGGCTAATGTGTTGCGGCTTATGACATCATCGCCTGGCACCACTACTCCTTTTTGAGCATGCGCATGGCCCTTATGTGCACTGTTATCCAATGCTCGGCTGCTGGGGTGATGCTGGGGTGACTTGACCAACAGAGAGGGCTCTGTGTGCCTGCTGTGGCACACGTGCCATAGGTTCACCACCACTAGTCTAGATGGTATACAACAATCAAGACCAAAAATACAGCAATCTTAAAATTACAAAATACAAAAACAATAAAATTGATGAAATTCATCAATTAAAAATATAAGTAACAATAATAATAATAATTTAACAATGAAATTTCTGTTCGCGACCCAATTTGGTCGTGAACTTGAGGTGTTTGTGAGCCGAGGTATCACTATACCTTACTTGCAAAAGAGATCATTGTGACTTGGCATGAGTTACTATCAGTTTATGCATCCACTAAAGTCCCTTCAGAAATGTAGCACCACTGTCTCTTGAAAAGCAGCAGACACAACTCTCTGATGCAGTTGATGCATCTACCCCTCCCTGGACCCATGATCAATCTTTTCTTGGCATGCTTGAATGGCAAAGATTGAAAGCAAAGATTGAGAGCAAATGTGACCAGTTAAACTGTCTATATTGTCCAGCCAACATTGTTGGACAGTTTCCAGAAAACTGGACAAGAGAGTAGTTATGAAAATAGACAATTTTGTTTTTGAAGTGCCTGGCAAAATCATCAGGCTTCTGAGAGTTCCAACATACCATTCACTATGGTAATAAATGTGATACCACCCAGAAAAGCTCTGTTAGGCAACTACATGAGGATGCAGTGGAAGCAACAAAACAACTCTGCTTGTCTCACTGCCACAACAGAGACAGGATTATGCATCCTTACTCATGTTCAACTGGCTTCACAGTCAGTCTTACAGAAGTGGCAC